GGCGGACCCTCAACCACTGCGCCACCAGGGAAGTCCTAATCAAGTGATTTTTTTTTTCAGGTGTTCAAGGGACATTTTTTGAAAAGCAGTAGGTCAATAAATAGCCAGGGTATTAAAAATTCTCCTGTCTTTATCTCTAATTCTTTCTGTGTCCTTTTATCTATAAAGGAAGCACTCGCAAATAGGTTTAATGAGCCTAATGGTTTATTCTGATTTGTTCAGGGCAGTAGATAAATGGAAGCCAACAAAATCGGATAGTAAATTTGGACTGAGTATCATAGATAGAGCCGTAATAGAAGCAACTTAAAATCGTTTGTAAATAAGATACAGAGTTCGACATATTCTACTGGAGAGTTCTCACTATACTCTCTCTCAGGTCGTCCCCTCCCTCAGGCTTCAGGATTCAGACGCACTGTGCCCCCTCCCTCGCGGGTTACACTGAGACCTAAGAAATGGGAAGTCCCCACAGTCGTGCAGGGCTGGAAGCGGCCGCGAGAGGCCGCTGTGGCAAGAGGGTGGCTCAGTGAGTGTCCCTGCTCATTGCTCCTGGCCCTAAGGCAGCCTGAGATCAGCTGCCTGGCTAGGCCTCCAGGAAGGGCGGGGTCGCGCTGAGACTGTGCGCCAGGCTCGCTCATCGGCCCTTGGGGGTCCCCAGAGCCCCGTGGAAAGAGCTCATCCTTTCCGCCCACCGCAGCCTGCACGTGGCCGAAACCGAAGCGGAGCAAGTGGAAATGGAAGAGTGCGTCGGCCTCCCGGGCTTCCACTGCCGCGGAGGCCTGGCAGGCGCGGGTGGTGGCCGGAGCCCGCAGGCGCTCGGGGCCGCCGGGGACGCACGTCGAGGTGTCGCTGCTTGGACCCGTCTTCGGAGAGAGTCGGGCCGGGGACTTGACAGGCGGTGGGCCTCGCGCCTGGGTCCCTGGTCGCCGTCCTTGCTGGAGTGTGCGCTGCGCTTAGGGCCGGGCTTGCGGGCTCCACTCCGCCCGGCGTGACCCCCACTCGCCACCCTCCCTCCGACGGCGCTTTGCGGGGCGCGGCTCCGCGCCCGCTGTCCTCTCCTCAGGCTCCTCCCGAGGGGGAACCAGGGACTTCTGGACTCGGCAGTGCCCCACGCGCTGGGCGAAGCGAGGTCTCGATCCTCGGCGCCCGTGGAAGGAAGGGCGCGGCCCAAGGGTCCGCAGGTTCCGGCCGCAGGCGCCCTCACAGTCGCTTCCGGAGCTCCTCCACCCCCGGCCCCGCCGTTCCGTCTCCCCCGGACTCTCGGTTCGGGCACTGCCGCAGTCTTCGGGAGCTCCGGAGCCAGAGCCAGAGCCGGGAAGCACGTCCCCGGACGTGTCTCCACGAGCGGCGTCGCGGGAACCGGACGCTGGAGGCCTGGGCGTTCCCGGTGCTGGGCTCTTGGGAGACGAGGTGCAGGCGTTGGGCGGGTCGCGTCCGGAGACTGGAGAAGCTGAGGCCGCTCGGGTGCCGGCGGTGGGTGTGTTTCCAGACCCAAGCGCGAAGCTCGTGGGGGTCGTGCCCGCTCCCCCCGCGCAAACCTTGGATCGGACCCAAGTGATGGGCTAGAATCTTCGCACAGGGCCGAAGGAGGGGGAAGACGGACTGCTCATGGAGATCTGGGCTGCGGTGACTGCTCTGGGCCTGGGGGAGCACTTCCTGGAAACTCCGGTAAAATCCAGCGCCCGTGGCAGGGCGGAGGGTCGCTGGCCAAAGAGATGCTGGCCCTCTTGGTGGCCTTTTCCTCAGAAAGAGGAGGGAGGAATGGGTGTCGCCGGGACTGCCTTTACTGGGGCAGCGTTCCTGGGATTCTGCAGCCTTCTCTCAGTTTTGCCCTGCCCCAGGGGCCCTGGGTCAGTTCCTGAGTGATGGTCCAGATGAAAGGCCTCTGTGTGTCCTCGGGCTGCAAGGCGTGACCCTCTGGGGACCGTGCCCAGCCATGCGCTCGGGGGTCCCCTCGGGCTCACACTGACACGCCAAGGGGTGGATGACTGGAACTCCAGGTGTGGCTGACCAGGAGGTGCCCTGAGTTTTCCAGAAGGCCTAGAGGAAGAGCCCTGGCTGCCTCTGGCACCTCTGGTTCAGTGCACCTGGCACTTACCTGCCTGACCTCTGAGTTCCGTGGTGGGGGACATCGTGAGCTCCCTGCCAACTGCCCACTTTCCATGTTCCCTGCCCAGCAGTCTACGTACTCAGAGTGGGAGAGAGGGGGCATCCCCTCCCTCTGGCTGAACCTGAAGTTCCCACCTGCTTCAAATGAAAAGCTGCTGGCAGGTAATATTTGGGATTGAGAGTGAATTTTAAGTGGTTTCGCCTCATGTGTACTCACAGAGCCAGGCTCGGAAGCTAAAGGTGGGCCTGGAGACACAGAAACAACTGCTTCCTGGGGATAAAAAAAATTAAGATAGGAATCCCTATCCCCCAAGCAGGAAGGAGTTGGTGGCACCTTTTTGAGGAGGGTTCAGGGAAGGGGGAATCTAACTCCCCTTAGTAAATCACACTACTCTCCTACCGGCAATTTGAATCTGCAATTCTAGGTTCAACATCCGTTAATGAAAAATCAATCCAGAGTCACTTCTTCCAGTGGCAAGGCAAACAGCTGAGAATCCTGGATAGGGGTGGGGAAATGGGTGCTTATAAACTGCTCATGTGCCACACCTGGGCTGATTCTAAGCGTACACAAACTCCTTAGAAAGGATGTTAGTCATTAGTATACAAATTTGTTTGATAGTCATACTTTTTGAGCCTGTAATTTAAGTCCTGGTTGTTTATTGTATAAGTTTGTACAGTGTTACAAGTTTGAAATAAGTGTGTATAATTACGCAGGCTGCTCTCTAATACTCTTAAGTTGGACGCAATTCCTGTGCTCATCTATCTGCTTCTTTAAATACCATATCGAGGGACTTCCTTGGTGGTGCAGTGGTTAAGAACCTGCTTGCCAGCTCAGGGGACATGGGTTTGATCCGTGGTCTGGGAAGATTCTGCATGCTGCCAAGCAGCTAAGCCCGTGCGTCACAACTACTGAGCCTGTGCTCTAGAGCCCGTGCGCCACAACTACTGAAGCCCATGCGCCTAGAGTCAGTGCTCCGCAACAAGAGAAGCCACCGCAACGAGAAGCAAGTGCACAGCAAGGAAGAGTAGCTCCGGCTCGCCATAACTAGAGAAAGCCCGTGCACAGCAATGAAGACCCAAGACAGCCAAAAATAAATAAATAAATACCATGTTGAACTTCCAGCCAAAGAAATGGTGTGTATATGGGGGGTGAGGGTATTTAGAAACCATGATAAAGGAAGTCCTCACTAGGGGATGGCTTACACTTTATTTTTCCCTCAGAAGAGTTACTTTTTATTAGCTACCTGACACATTAGTACTTTATTTCCCTTTCATTGAAATTGAGAACTACGGAAGAGTAGAAAGAATTCTGTATATCCTTCACTGAGAACCAACTGTTGATATTTGTCACATTGATTCCCTCCCTCCCTCTCTCTCTCTCTCTCTCTCTCTATATATATATATATATATATATATGTATATATATATAATTTGGGGGCTCATTTTTGGGGGGTGCTGAACTATTTGTAAGTGAATTGTAGATATCAACACTTTACATATTTCAACATGTTTCTTGTTAGAACAAGGACCTTTTCTTACATAATAAAGGCACCACACTCTAGAAATTGTATATTATAGAACATACAATCAAATACTATTTTACAATATAGCCCATGTTAAAATTTCCTCCACTGTCCTGAAATGGTCTTTCTCTGTCTTTGATTCAGGGTTTGAATCATGCGTAGCACTTGGGTGTCTCTTGATTAATAAGATGATCTTCTGCTTTTTTGTTTTCATGGCTTTGACAAACCAGTAGTCCATTGGTCCCATTGTTGGCGATGCTAATTGTGGTCTTTGGTTAAGGTGGCATCTGCCCTCCAAGTCGCTATTGTGAAGGAATATTTTCTCCTTTGTAATTCATAATCTATGGGCTAGGCTTTCCAGAACTCTTCAATATCCAGTTAATAACCTTTCATTTGATAGCCATTGATTATTATCTGAATTGATGACACTGGTGGCTGCAAAAGAACAAGCAACCCACAGGTTTTGACTGCAGGTGAAGAGGTCTGCCCTAATAAGTGGCCATGAAGGCTGCTGAGGGGACATTAGATGTTATCAGAACATGGTCTTGGGAAAAGCCAGCTTCATCTCTGTCTGTGAAGCCCTAAACATTGAAACACACCCCCATCGGATAGATCTAGTGCAGTGTTTACAGCAATCTGTTTTTTAAATGAATAAAACAAGTTTGTTTAGGGCCTGAAGGCCGGACTACATACTTTAGGCCACGTGAGCTTCGAAATCCAGGTAGATTCAAAAGTTCCAGACTCGGGGGCTTCATGGAACGTGAACCGTGGGGCACTTCAGAGCCCCCATCAGGACCCTGGAAGAAAATGAATATCGGAATCTCGTTTTCCTCTTTGTTAATTGGCAGGAGTGACCCCTCAGTCCCTTGAAGTTGCAGGAGTCGCCCTGCAGTGAAGTCCCGAGGTCCGGCTCCCTTAGGCCAAGGGAAGACACACCCTCCTTTGGAACGTGGAAGGCAGGGACTCGATTTGGCAGCTGGGTGGCCGTCGCACCCCCAAACTTGTACTGCTTTCCGAGGTTCAGGCCCAGCCACTGTTTCTAGAATAACAAGGGTTTCTAGCGCCGTCTCCCCACTCACTCCCAAGGTGAAGGGATTTTGGTGCAGAGGAAACGAGTCAAAGCAGGTGGGAGCCCGAGTCAACTCGGAGACAGCTGGGCCCACCCGCACTCGAGAGCCTAGACAGTCAACCCGAGACCAAGGCGGCCCGGGGCGTGCGGGGCGTGGCGAGTGCGGAATTGCGCAGCCGGGCCGGGGGCGGACCGGGGGCGTGGCCTGGATGGGGCGGGGGCGTGGCCTGGATGGGGGTTGGCCAGGGGCGCGTGGCGTGGCTCGCCCAGGTTCTTAACTTTCCGCCGGAGGCGTCGTCCTGCCCAGTGTAAGTCCGAGCTCCCAGCAGGGCTGGTTTAGACGTCCGGAAGATGGGGAAGCTGCCCGAGCAGAACGACATCCCACCTTGGGTGGGGACTCCCGAAGTCTTGAAGGAGCCCGGGGTGTTCCAGGTCCAGACGGGGCTGCTGGAAGCCGTGTTCGGTGAGTGAACCCAGTGCTGACCCGGGTGCCCCGGCCCTCCTGGGCCCGAGCGCTCATCTTCTCCCCTAAACAGGCCCCGACGGATCTCGAATCCCATTCGTCGAGGAGGTGAGCAAAGTCATGCTCCAGATGAAGGGTCTGGAAGCTTCGGACCTCGCCGAAGTCATGGTTTACGGCTCTTACTTGTTCAACTTTCAGACCAAGTGGATGCTCCAGTCCGTGGCCTAGCGGCACCGCCAGCGGCACAAACAGGTTGAGAGGCCTCATGACCAGGTGCCCTGGACCTTCCTGTGCAGGCGGCCTGGCTCCCGCCCCTCCAGCCCTCCTCACCCCTCCCTAACTATCCCCTCCGGGCAAACACCAACAGCACCCACCCGGGGAGGCCTCTGTGTCCAGGCTGTGCCCCAGACTCCTTGGCAGTGCCGGCCCTTGGCCCTAGGGACCCTGGAGTAAGGCTGTGAGAGGTGGCCAGGGCTGGCCTCCTGGGGCGGGGCCTCCCCACCCGCCATGTTGGAATGAGCCCAGTTGGCCCCAGGTTCTGAGGTTCCCGAGAATCCCAGGCCCAGGACGCCTAACTGGGAAGTCCCAGAGAGGAGCCTTGGAAAGAGGCAGAGAACTGTTCAGGCTCTTACCCTCTCCGCTCACACTTGCCTGCTGTGGCTTTCTGGTGCAGGGATGCTGCAACCTGAGGAAGCCATGAATTCGCTCGACCTAGCTCCTCGGATGAAGGGAAGCCAGTTTGCAGCCAGACCAACCTGGGACGGCGAGGTAGAGCGGAGGCCGCAGCCGGGGCTGCCCGGGGTCTCGTTTAGACTCTGCTCCAGCCTGACAAGGAACACCCAGCTGGCTTCTGGTCTCTGCCTTTAAGTCCTCCTGTCCTTCCCCCCAAGCTTGCTAATTACACAATAAAATTTTAAAACGTTTCTTGATGTGTCTTGCTGTGTAGTTGAGGTATTGAAGATAACATCACAGGTGAGGTGGCCCTGGGAGCTTAACTCTTAGTGAAACCCCTAAGGCTAGAAAGAGGTCCCAGAGCACAGGGGGAAAAGGGTCTGGAGAGAAAAGGAAAAGGAAAAGGAAAGGGTCTGGAGAGAAAAGGAAAAGGAAAAGAATCTGGGAGTCAAGTTCTGAGATGCAGCTCTGACCAAAAAATCAGACAACCTAGGAGAGACGTGATATTCTGGCACTGAGAGTTTCATATCCTTGTAAACTAAATTGGAGACCGCTGTCTGGGTTCTCATTTGCATTCAGCCTACTGCTACACATTATTTAGGTTGGAGTGTGAAGAAAATTCAGCCTTACAGATAGATATACAGGAAAGGAGAACCTCACACAGACTCCTTGAAATGGTCTCTGGAATTCTCCACCACACTTACAGGAGGCCCTGGCCTCCGAAGGGTAAGTGGGATTAGGGTGGATGAAGCATTACCATAGGTGGGGCTCACTCCTGAGGGTAGAGGGGCCATCAGAACGGGGGCTACATTTTTCCCTAGTAGAGACCAGCCTGGTAGTTCACAAGCTGGAATGAATCCCCTCAGGGAGCTTTCTGGCCCTATGACGTTAGCCACATTCACCCTCCTACCCCCTCTCTCTGCTCAGGTTCTAAACTGAAGATAATAGCCTCTGACCTCAGGCGAAGTTGTGAGATTTACGTAGGGTACTTAGAGCAAGCGTCACACCAGAAACAAGTGTTGACTATCTTTTGGAGCAATTGAACAAAAATGGGGGAGAAAAACTAGCAAGGAGCCATTTTCTGCAAGAGGCGCGTGGCCTGTCCACCAGACAGCTGCTCTTGTTCTCGCTCAGTAAATGAATGGCACCAGCATTTTGGGCCAGTGGTTCAGGCCCCAAACTAGAAGCCGTCCCCGATGCCTGACCACCGAAAAGGACTCCCTGCTCAAGCCCACTCAACTTGACTTCCAACCTGAGCCCTTCCTGCACCTGTACCCGGTCCAGCTGCCCACCCCACCCCGACGCCAACCTGCCTTGCCAGAACTACTGAAAGAGGCTCCTATCAGGTCTCAGGGGGTTCTCTTTTGGGCATCTCACAGTCGGCTTCTCTGCCAGACTTAATTCTTACAACGTTAATCAGATGGCCCCTCCTCCAAAAGGAACTCCAAAATTCTCCAAAGTTTTCCAGCCAACCTAACCCAAGCTCCTGGCCCTGACCTAGAACACCCTGTGTAATGTGCCACCTGCCTGCATCTCTGCTGCAGATCCGTATCCTTTTGCTGCCCCTCAAACAAACTGTCTTGTTACCACTTCAGGGCTTTTATTTTTGCTCTTCTGCCAAGAACACTTCTCACTTGTTTTTATTAAATTTTTTGGCCACACCAGGTGGCTTGCAGGATCTTAGTTCCCCAACCAGGGTTTGAACCCGTGCCCCCTGCAATGGAAGTGCGGAGTCCTAACCACTGGAACACCAGGGAATTCCCTTTCATTTTTTGGGAATGATTCTGTTCCCTTCTTCCCGGTGGTCCATGTTCCCTCCAGAGGTCCTCTCCTTCCCCACTGTCTCTGCTTGACCTACTTTAGTTTTGTTCATGGCATTTTAAACATGACTGACAAGCTAACCGTTCATTTTCCTCCTCTGCCCCACTGGAATGTAAACTCTAGAAAAGTTGAGATTTTTAAAAAATAGTATGGAATGTAAACTCTAGAAAAGTTGAGATTTTTAAAAAATAGTACGAGATTTTTAAAAAATGGTATGAGATTTTAAAAAAATAGTATGGGGCTTCCCTGGTGGCGCAGTGGTTGAGAGTCCGCCTGCCGATGCAGGGGACACGGGTTTGTGTCCTGGTCCAGGAATATCCCACATGCCGCGGAGCGGCTGGGCCCGTGAGCCATGGCCGCTGAGCCTGCGCGTCCGGAGCCTGTGCTCCACAACGGGAGAGGCTACAACGGTGAGAGGCCCGCGTACCGCAAAAAAAACAAAAAAAAAACAAAAAAAATAGACAGTATGTAATATTAAATGTTGAGGACAGTTTTCTAAGACAAGGACACCAGCTTGGCTGCTTGGGTTTGGATCTTGGCTTAGCCTCTTTAGCGATGGAACCACGAGCCTTGTGCTTTTGTTCCCCGTCTGTAATAGGATAAGATCCGTCGCATGGGTTGTAGTGAGGATATCAAGTCTTAGAACAATGTCTGACACCATGGGCAGTCAAATATGATTTCTTTAATGTATGAAGGACAGGGTGCAGGACTGGAGCTGGATTGCTCCCTCCCAGGCTTATGGAGGAGGGACTCTAGCCTCCAGCCCCTGTTCTCACATTGAAGGCTTAGTGAGGGGAGCTGGGGAGTCGTTTGTCAAGGGCGCTGTCCTGCCTCCTGGAAATGCAGGATGGTGTGTGTTTTTCCTGGGGTCTTTGGAGGCCATACAGCCTTTAGGTCACCAGGAAGCAAAGGTACATTTTGGCATGCTACTGAAGTTCATTTAGAGGAGAGGAAGAGACTAGGCAGGCACCCTATGGGCATCCTGACACCCTCCCTTCCAACCTTTGAGATTTGCACCAGTACTCTGGCCTGGAAGTCATGGACCACTCAGCACAGCTCCTGCCCAGGATTTTGGAGGAGAAATCAGTCCCACTTTTCCCACATCCCCAAGAAATGATGATTGTTAAAACCATTTGCCCTCGGATTTTGAAGAACTAGACACACCTAAATGACTTTCCTCCTGTTTGGAGGGTCAGGAGGGACAGTTGGCTCAACTCTGTGTGGAAAGAGGCCAAGAGTATCTACAAAGGTTGAACTGCCTTGCAGATTTGTTCCTTCCCGGTAAGAAGAGCTGATAGGCTCTCATGGGACAATCATTGGGTGTCAGGATAGGAGGCTATTGCAGGGCCCAAGATGCTACAGATCAGGGAGGGGCTCGTGTTGGGATCAGGTGGGGTCTGGGCGGGGGGCATCTCGGTTTCCAGGGAAGAGACTGCCTCTGATCCTGGTCACCTCAAGGGGGTCCCTTGTGGCTTTGGGCACATTTTGAATGCAAGGGCATTGGCAAGATACTTCTGGATACCTGTTAACAGTTGCAACAGTTCCCTACAATCTCACCCAGGGACGCCTGCAAACTTTTTCTTTTCTGATCTGTTAGGTGAACCGTCTCCCTTTTGTACTTCTTGCTTGAGTCTCCTTATGGACCAACAGTTGTGGCCCCCAAATTAGCCTCAGCCAGTGCACCCTTTAAAGAATCAGTTGGCAGTGAATGATTGTGTGTGGGCATATAAACTGTAGAGTTATGAACCCCAATTTTGCAGTGTAGAGGGGGCATAAAAAACTGCCCTTGCCCCTAAGCCTAGAAATTCCCTAAGGGCAGTGCTTCTAAATGTAGAAAACAGCTTTACGTTAGTTAATCTGTGTCAAAAGTATCAAGCTTGGAAATTTAAGACTGTGCTATAAATTCCATGCATGCCATGGACTGAAGATTTTTCAGCACTAAAGAGATAAAAATCCTAAGCAACACAAGACTTTGAGCAAATACACAGAACAGTTTTGGAAATAGTAACCTGAAGGTTAAAAAAAAAAGAAATGGTTGTCTTGTGGTGGTCCTTTTTTTTTTTGAGTTTGAAGCTCTTGATCAATTTTCCGCCAAGGGTAAGCGAAAGGGCAGCACAACCACTGCAGTGGGTGTGGGTTCGATCCCTGGTGGGGGAAGTAAGACCCCACATGTTGCATGGTGCAGCCAAAAAAATAAAACTAAAAGGAAAAAAAGTCAAGCCACAGTTATATGTTTTTTTTTGACACAGGGCTGTACATCAAATGAGAGTATTATAGAGAGTTTACACAATCCAGATCTACAGGCCATGTGACTCCCTTACGGAGATCAAGAAGGAATGTTATCTTCTAAAGAGTCGTCCCAGTAATCTTGGGAGAATGTTGCTCTGCCGATGGGGGAGCTTGGCCAATGCATATTGCTGATACACGATGCACAGCAGAAGGGAGAGAGGAGGCCAAAGGGCAGAGAAAATGTTTTTGTGTTTAAATTTCTCTTGTCTTGCAATGAAATGCAAATTTCATTTCACAACAGTTAAGGTGCATATCAACGCAATAATTCCAGTGAGCCCAGGCTCTTGCATCTTCCCATTCAGAGAAAAGCACTAATATCGTTAACTTGAGATGTCTGGGTTTTTTTTTTGTTTGTTTGTTTTTTTGCGGTACGCGGGCCTCTCACTGTTGTGGTCTCTCCCATTGCGGAGCACAGGCTCCGGGCGCGCAGGCTCAGCGGCCATGGCTCACGGGCCCAGCCGATGCACGGCATGTGGGATCTTCCCGGACCAGGGCACGAACCCGTGTCCCCTGCATCGGCAGGCGGACTCTCAACCACTGCGCCACCAGGGAAGTCCGAGATGTCTGTTTTTTGTTATTAGTGGTAGTCTTCTGATGCTCAACTACATTTTTTTTTTAGCAAAAACTCCTATATGTCCTGTCTTCTCCAATACCTCTTTGGAGAAGTTCCTCACAGCTCTCTGAGAGGCTGTTTCTGGGCTACAGTCCTCAGCAATGCCCCAAATAAAACATAATTCTTAACTTTTAGGTTGTGCTTTTTTTTTTTTTTTTTCAGGAGACATCTCCATCAAATCTCTATCAATGGTCAAGCTTCTCTTCTAGAACTTCAAGGTGGGCAATGGGCTGAGAGTTGCCTCACTCCCACCCCCGCTCCTAAGACTCTTTATGTTTTAGAAGAGTTTAGGTTCACAGATAAATTGAGCAGAAAGTACAGAGAGTTCCCATAAACCCCCTGCCACACACTTGCCCAGCCTCCCTAACTACAAACATCCTTTCCCAGAGTGCCAGCTACCAACTGGCACTGCCGTCTGCCTCTGCAGTCATGAGCCACTGCAGCCGCTGACCTTCAACACCCCCTGAAAGGAGTTCAGGGTGGAGATCAGGGGTGAAGCCCTCT